TGCGCGGGAGACCTGGGACGGTCGGCACCCTGCCGGGCTGGCGCCGTCCCAGAGGGGCGGACGGGAACACACGAGGCCCTCGAAACAGCAAACGAAGGCTAGGAAGCCCACAGTGCCGACCTCCCCAACAGCCTCCTGGACGCTCGCTTCTCGGTTACACTGGAGAATCCTTCTCAACCCAAACTGCCCTCGTTCTTTGGCTCTGATCAGGGCTGAGGAGTCAGAAGCCCGGCTCTTCCCCGCGCCCCGCAGCTGCATGAGTCTTCCTCCCGGCTCGCTCCTCCCACCACCACCTCCTGCATTTTTAATGCTGTGAGTGCCGCTAATCGGCTGGTGGAGTATAGCTTTCTTTTCCCGTCACTCAAGCTGCAGCCCCAGCTGCGGCCCTGGCTGGAAGGGGAAGAGGAGACCCATTTGGGCAGGAGGAAGACACAGGCCCAAACCTGCCCTTCTGTGAGTCCCCTGGCCCCAAGGCTTGCCAGCAGCAGAGATGGAGGATCTTTGCTTTGTGGTCCGGCATGCTTGCCTTCTGGCCAGCTGGAACTGCAGGGTGCCAGGTGGTGGGTGGGCATCAGTCCGATCCTGGGCTCACCTCCCCCACAATGCTCTGTACATCTGCCCCAGCCCTGCTAACTTCCACAAGAGACGGCATCAGACAGTAAGAACCCCACACCAGCTCATCAGACAGTAGGAACCCTACAGCACCTCCAAAGCTGCTTTGCCCAGCCATTCCCCGCAGTGTCGGGCACTGGCTTCCTTCTCTCCCTACCTCACTTACTTGGCAAAGTTTCCACGACTCTTCCACCCTGAAGCTCCGCGGTTCCGTCTGCTCTGGTGCCCAAAGGTAGCTTGTGTGTATTGCGCGATCTCGGTAGAACTGAGATTTTCAAGCAGCGGCACTCAACTAGGTGTGGTCTAGAGACCAATTACAACCTCCGCGTGGTCCCCGAGCTCTTAGCGAGCTGCGCACAGGCGTTCCCAGCCCAGACGGGGCGCTGGCAACCCTGCACGCCCTCCGCCTGTGTCGCCACCACAGCCCACAAGGCTCAGATGTGGTTTCACAGACCCAGATGGGCTGAGCAGGCGGTACACTAGTGGGTATTTCAAGCCCCTTCTTGTTTTTTTCTGAATGTTGTAGGGGGTTATGGGGTTATAGTGCCAATAGTTTCGTTTCTAACAAACACATTGAGAGCAGTCCCATCTCCTCCTCGTCTGGGCACCAGAAGAACCACTGGACAGTGTTCACTTGCGACCACCCAACTACTAAAGCAAAAGCTGTTGTCTTAAAAAAAATGCAAGTGCAAACACGCACGTGTGTGAGAACCACGCTTAAGTGACCGACATCTCCTGAGTGCTTGATTCCAGTTTACAAAGAGTTTCGCAGCTTACAGACTCATTATACAGGTACCTTCCCAATGTGACATTTCCAATTTCACCTCCACAGAATGTGAGGCAAAAGGAGCCAGTAAGGATTTCTGCAAAGAACAGACACTTTCCCAGGTGCAACAACAAAGGAAACGAAAGCATAAACTATGCTGCTTCTGATTATTTTGCTTGTTGCAGTAGTTTTTAGTTCAAGACTGTTTTCTGACCTTTGAAAGAGCAGGCAGTGTGGACATCAACCCTTTTATCAACATCATCATCCAGAAGCAAATGGCTCCTTAATTTAATCAGGATCTCTTATTATCAAATTATTGCCTTGGCCACAGTGAGGCTGAAAACAGGAGCAGAACATTATCAAGCTGCTCAGGAAGCCAGTGAGTAGTAATTACTCCCCCAGAGAACTGGTCATCTTCCGTGTCCTACCTAGTGGAAACGGAGTATAGCTGAGATTTATACCCTCCTCCACACCAAAATAATGGATGAAACAGACAGGCTATTAAAAATAGGCCTGATTCTGTTCCCTTTTAACTCTCACATCCTTCAAATGGATGTCTCCAGGCAGTTAAGTGTTCTAGCCTTTGCAGCTCCTTGTTACCACCCGATTTTGGGTGTTTTACAGCAACGGAGTAACTTAAGCTAAGAAACACTATGTGGCTTGAAATTTACACTAATCCATTTAGAAATGAAAGAACCAGAAATTTTAAATAACTGCCTTTTTCTTCTGTTGTCTGACAAAAAAGGTATCCTTTATTTTCTATAGGATGTCATCATTAAACCACATGACTGAATATATCAGACTCTACAATAAATTCAGTCTAAAGATCATCTATGTGATGTCTGCATTTTTTGCCTCACCATCTTTATCATAGTCCCTCTTACTGTCTGCTTTAGACATCCAGTTCATTTTGATATTTTAAAAAGAGTATTTCAGCTGGTGTGGTGGCTCACATCCATAATCCCAACACTTTGTGGGGCTGAGGCAGGAGGGCCGCTGGAAGCTAGGAGTTCGAGACCACCCTGGCCAACACAGTGAGACCCGTTTCTACAGAAAATTAAAAAGATAATAACTTTAATAAAAAAGAAAAAAATAATTATTTCTCTTAAGGCCAGGAGTTTGAGCAACATAGACCCTGTCTCTAAAAGGAAGAAAAAAAAATTAGCTGGGTGTGGTGATACTTTCCTATAGTCCCAGCTACTCGTGAGACCGAGGCAGGAGGACTGCTTGAGCCCAGTAGTTCAAGGCTGCGGTTAGCTATGATTGTGCCACTGCACTCCAGCCTGGGCAACAGAGTTAAGACCTCATCACAAAAAAATAATTTCTTCTTGAATTAAACTCTGCTCAATTCAAACACTTCCTCCTGGTGACAGGCTGGTCTTTAATGTACAACTGAGAACAAGACAGACCAGCACGTCATGCTTCATCATAATCCATTTCCAGTGAGGGCAGATCTGAATGGAACAGAACTCACAGTGAGACTGTCCCAGTTTTCTCTGAGAATTAAATGTGCTGTTTTAAATCATCCCTCTTTCAACCATTACTCTTTTGTTCCACAATTAACAAAACACTTAATTCTCTGTTGGTTAGAATTCAACACTGTATAGCAAGACACAAAACAGTGTCTATGTAGACTTCTTTATTAAGGGGGCTGCTGGTGTAGAACTGTCTACCCAACGAGACAAAAGTCCAGACATGATGTAAACAATCCACTCTCTCCAACAATAAATGTACCGTTCACATATCCTTTCTCAGTAAGGGCACACTCTTTTGAGACAAAGACTGCTTCAAGTATTAAATGAACTTACTCAAAGGCATGTAATATATAATCATCTACCACTTTCTATTTGCATACAAATGAAGCAATTGATGTTTTTCAGTCTTCTGCTGAATGCATTTTTAGGAGCTGACCTAACTATTCTCTGAGCAAGCAAGTATAGAGTCTTGGGTGAGTGTAGACACATGAGACTACAACTAAGTATCTGTTCCCAGGACAGAATCTCCAGCCAGGGAGACCTGACCGGATTGAATTGAGCCCCAGGAACCAAAAACGTGGAGGGGCAGGATGGATTTCATTCTCTAAAGCAGCTGATGACTGCCTGAGGTGGAAGGTATAAACTAATCTCCCTGGGATATAACAAGTATTTGAAAACGGATTTTCTACAATGAGAATGGTTTTCTTTAAGACATTTCCAAATACTGAATATTAAGGCCAAATTAATTCCATGAGAAACAAATCTTTCAATTATTATCTCTACCACCCTTCATTCCTTTTTTTTTTTTTTTTTTTTTTGAGATGGAGTCTCGCTCTGTTGCCCAGGCTGGAGTGCAGTGACGCGATCTTGGCTCACTGCAAGCTCCACCTCCCGGGTTCACGCCATTCTCCTGCCTCAGTCTCCCAAGTAGGTCCTCACCCCATGGCCACGCCCCCACCCAAGGAAGCAGTCGGGATTGGGCAGACAGGGGGAAAGGGGGCGAGGCTTAGGGCAACGGCTGTAACGGC